AGAAGTGGACTCTGAAAACAAGAACATTAAATAAGATTGGTAAGGACTGGTATAAGCAATGTGCAGAATGGATCATGAAGTGGTAGAAATACTTTTCGAATACAGCCATGTTGTACAGTCTTGTTATAGTTTTGCCTGAAATAAAGTATATCTGTTAAAATTTGAGAGGAAAAAAATGAAAGAAATTTGAATATTTTTAAATTTATTTTGTAATTTGTCGTCATTTCACATATTTTATGCATTTTATCAAAATATTTTATTTATTTTAATAAATCATTCCAATACAAAAGGTTATAATTTTGCGATATATTTTAAAGATACATTTTATTTTAATAAATGCATATATGCACTGTTTTGAATATTATTATTGTTATAATTTTTATTATTATTAATATCATTATTATTACTATTACTACTATTATTAATATATTGTTATCACTCTTATTATCATTATTCCAATATTACTGTTATTATTATCATTATCAGTTATATAATACTTTATACGTATGAAAATTTGTATCAGTTACTACTCATCAAATGGAAATAGTTTTAATTTTTGTGTCTTACCCTATTAAGTGTAACTTTTCTCCCTGCTCGTACAATGTTCTGAGAGTTTTATTTTCCGGTGCAAAAAATGAATGATCCTCGATGAGCATCACTTCATCATATGTATCAAATGTAAAGAAACGACTGCATTTGATACAAGGCTCGTCGAATTTACGATTGAAATAAATATTTAAATAAGAATATGACTGGTCATCTATCTGTTCTTCTTGTTTCTCCTTGGAAGCTGTCCGATCCCTCTAATAACCGTAACAAGAATAAAAATATATAATAGTCATCCAACATCAGCACAATCATAAAGTTTAGAAGAAAAAAAATGACAAGATGCTTTAACGAAATTGCACACATTCTTTAAAATTGGCTACAATTGGTATTTGCATATTATGCGATAGTGACTTTGGCTTTGAAGCTAGGCTACTACATATTGTCACTATTGATAATGTTATTTATGTATTGATTAATGCTAGTTAGTAGTCAGTTGGTTAGAGTGCCAGAAGATATTTGCCAGAAGATATTTCCAAAGAGTGCCCTCTCATCTTTTTAATATATATTTCTACGTTTTAGCCTTTGTAAGCGCTGTTCTAGATCACCTTCTGAGAATCAGTAAGAACTAGAAAGAATCTACCAGTGACATTACTGCTATGTTTCGTTCAAACCACGGCGGATTGGATTCGAGTGATGCAAATATGACCTCAAAACAACAAGAAACTCATAAAGTTAGCTTCTTTTGTCATTTGTTTCCAGAATATATTAGAATCAATGGGTATTCTTTCTTTAAAAAAAATGCATTCAGAATTTTGCATGATTTAAATGAAGTGATTCCAAACTAAATTTCATCTATTAAATGCAATAAATTTCTCGGGCTTTTTATACACCAATTTTAATTTCAACTTTTTCTTCATTAAATCTATGTTTCTTCTTTCGAACACAAAACGATAATATGCTAAAGTTTCTTTCACAACTTTTTTAAACTCAAATTTTACGAATAAATCAGAAGTTATTTTAATATAAGAAAGATTCATGAGTGTGTCAGCTAGAAGGCATTGAACGAGCAAATATTGAAGACCATTTTTGTTTCACTCAATGATTGCTTTTGTTTCATCTTTTTTTTCGAAATAATTAATAGAAAGGTATGTGAAATGATTCAAATGACCTCAGCCTTGTAAGGTCACAATAATCTCCTTTATCCTTTTTCTTTCTCCTACTCGTACCAGCTGAATCCGTTTACATGAAGCTTTAAGCCTTTCATTTCAAAATTAAGGAGCATAATAAAAGCAGGTGTTCAAGTGAGCCAACAGAGTGAGATTAAGCCTTTGTGCTATCGCAAATGAGATCGTAAAGCGAGATTAGTAGAAGTATTAACTTTTTCATATCCCAAGACTCCTTGTCTCATCCATGGAGTGAGAGTTAAGAATCTGTAGCAGCAATATAAATTCTAGGAGATGGTGCTCGATGTCAATATCGATCCGAAAGATCCAAAAGCTAATGAAGCAGCAAGAATTATACAGCACGCATATCGGTAAGTAATAATAATAGAATCATAAGATTATAAGATAATGAGATGTAATATTATCTCCGAAGACGAATAATTCAAACATTTAAAAATTTTTGAATTGAAAAAAAAGCATTACCAAAAGAAACATCATTTAGATATTTAAATTTTTGAATTTTGAAAAAGAAACATTAGCTGGTGTGGGGATGAACCGATAAGGATTTCCAAATGCTATCATCCCCTCATGTATCTTCGATAGATAGCGATTCCGATATAAGACAGCAGGTGTTATACCAAGTTATAAGATATTTGGAATTAGTCGCGGAATTTTTTTCAAGTTAATTAATCATTTGCTATCAAATGTTAATGAAAGATAAGGATGTCGTAATGCGGAATATCGTTACTTTAGTTTCAATTTTTAAAAATTTGCCATAACACTCCAATAGGAAAGCTTTAGAAGCATTTCCATAGAATCTGATATCTTCTCTGTTCTCTATCTTTAATTTGAAGAACTTAAGAGTGTAAGGGAAAAGAACTGATACCAAATTGCATATTCCAAATTGTTATTTTAAAAAGTGGAATATTCGACTGATTGTTTCCTTTTCATAATCCACTTATCAATAATACACGTTAAGTTCGGCAAATAAAAGTATGCTAATTATAATTTTATCAAACCGATCTTCACTTTTAATTTTCTAACTCTTCCACAAACAGAATAAAATGAGCAGCAGTATTAATGATTTCAGGAAGCATCAGGAGAATCAGGATAGCTGTCAAAAGCATCAGTACCCAAACATAAACTAATTGTAAGGAGACCGATGTTTGTTTTGCCTCACTGATGATGAAATTCTCACTTTCTTTTCCAGTTTAGCTGATCCAAAGATTAAACGGTAAAATTAAATAACCCGTGGTCCAAAAGTAAAAATATCCATTAATCTTTCTCCTAGTATTCATCATTCTAGTATTTCTAATATTTCCACTACTACAGCTATGGTATTGGAACATCCGAACTGATGAAGTCAAGTAATAAATTTTCCCATATTCGTTGCCTTCGTTCACTTGTCTTGATTGATATACTACCAAAAAAAAGAGCATAACGGTAGTTATGTTTTCGAACTGGCTTTTCTGATGAAATCGCAAAATTGTGAAATCAAACGACCCTTTTAGTGGAGTTTGATAATACAACACATAAAGAGTATGTAGTGCATTATGCATGAAGCCGAAAAGATTATATTTGTTATTCCAATTTATTTGAATACATTAGTGATTATTTGTTTGTTATAGGACTAAAACAAACATTATTGCAAGAGAAGTCATTATAGGAAAGAAATAAATAGATTTTTAGATAAAAATTGGCAAAAAACTTCGATTTAAAAAAAAAAATTGAAGCGAGTGAAATAAAGCGGAAAACTTGACCGGGTAAACAAGTGTTAGATTAAAAGACGAACGCTTATTAAACAGGTTTTAAAACGATATTGAAAAGATCGATAATAGGACGATAAAGTAGTGGGG